AAAAAAAAAAAAAATCCACAGAACTGATGATAGTTAAGTCCATGAGAGCAAATGAAGTTCATGTTGACACTACTGGTTTTAACGCACATGATGAATTAAAATATTTTCCACAAAGTACCACTAATGAATAATCACAGCCTTTAAATACCTTCCATTTTCAAAGACTTTGAAAATTTGTCCAACTAAGCCTTTTTCTGCTTAACACACATTTTAACTGCCATCAGTTGTAATGCATCTTAGCAGATTCCACTTCAGATTGTTCTGAATTAGTATTTTCTCAATTTCTTTGAAAATATTTTTGCCTGTAGTTATTCCATTTATGGAGACTATTTATGGAGGCTAATTCTTTTTTTTTAAATATGTTTTTGTTGATTTTAGAGAGAGAGGAAGGGAGAGGGATAGAGAGATAGAAACATCGATTGGCTGCCCCCCACACGCCCCTCTACTGGGGATCAAGCCCACAACCCGGGGATGTGCCCCGACCAGGAATTGAACTGGTAACCTGGTTCATGGGTCGACGCTCAACCACTGGGTCACACCAGCTGGGCATGCAGGCTAATTCTTCATTCACTTCAAGCTCACCATTGACTCCTCAAACAAACAACAATTGACAGCATCTGCAACACCTGTTGACCTATTAAAAGCCAAGAAAAACCATTCAAAATGGTTTGTTTAATTTTTTAAAACATGACTATTGGTATTGTTTCCAGTGTCCTCAACTCTTCAAGCAACCACCATCAATGAAAAGGTAACACATTTAAATGATTTTGTTTTCCCTGGACACATTTTTCTGCTCTAATCAAACATAATTTAACGTAGTTAAATGGCTTTCCTTGCTTGGCTAACCAATGAGTTATTCAGAAACTTACTTTGCTTACAGCCNATAGTTAAATGGCTTTCCTTGCTTGGCTAACCAATGAGTTATTCAGAAACTTACTTTGCTTTGGTGCTGTGCAAAATGAGCTAGTAACAGAAGTACTTACATTATAAGAATGAGACTATTTATATAACCTTTAAAACCATCAAAAACAACACTATGCTTTGCTTATGGGTACCTGTGGTAAAAAAACCAAAAAAAATGTGGCTGAGGGGGCGGGAGCAGATTTGTGAGGCACTGGGCAGGTGCTTCTGCAAAGAGACACAACATAGGGGTCCCTCAGGAAGCAACTCCAGGGGTAGGCCTTGGCCCTGGTCAGGGAGGTGCCAGCTCTCCCCATCTCCAGGCATTTGATGGGATCTGAGGCAAAGAGTGCGCTCCCCTGGGGGGGTGTTGAAAACAAACAGCTTCCAATGGTCATTACTGACAGGATTAGGGAAAAAAGTCAGCTGCCTAGCAGGTCCTAGGGTTGAAATGCTGATGTGCCCCAGTAATGAAACCACATCTGAAGCTGCCCTGCTGCTGAAGTCCCCACCTGGTTAAGGTTGCAGTGGTCCACTGGCATTCTCCATGATCCATCTGGCTTCTGCACAAACCAAGTCAGCTATTTGAATGGGGATGCCCTCTTTATCTTTCAAGTTCTTGCAGGAATCCCTCGAGACATGCAGTATTGTTTTTGTTTAGCATTTTGCCAGGTAGGGGCAGTTCCAATGGCTTCCTCTTGGCCTTTCCCCCATGACTGCCCTCACTCCACAGGTCAGAGAATCAATGTAGGGATTCTGTCAGTTGTTGAGTATGTCTACTCTGGAACTGGAAAAACGGCTATTAGATGGGTTCAGGGGCCCTCTGGACCCACTGTGAATAGACCTAGGCTAAAACTGCAATGATCACCCAATCTCCAGCAGCCCTGAGAGGGGAGGGCCTTACCCCAGCTGTCTGAGGCTCAGGGAAGCCAGACGGCTTATGTTAAGTCCCACAGGAAGACACAGACACCCCTTCCCAGCCCCTCCTGTGTGGTGGCCTCTAGAGTACTGACCCATCCCCCAACTTGTAGCTAAAGGCCAGAGCCCAGGGAAACATCAAGGGGTTTAAGCCTGAAATTTGGATCAAAGATTTTCTTCTGTTAGATGTGCCAGAAATAGTTCTTTGGAGAAATTTGTTTTTCTCAGTGTCCATAAATGGGCAGCTGGGGGTTATGGCGATCAAAGGACCTACTTCCCCGCAAGCCTTTGGACTGTTGTGAAAAATCCAGCTCAGCGATATACAGGAACTCACTCTGCCCTACAGCCGCGTGAGGAAGTGCTGGGTGGAGGCAATGGGCAGGAGAGAACAGAGCACTGATGTCAGAAAGCGACAGGGCTGGACTGTGACGTGGCTGCTATATGACTTAAGCATCAGTTTCCACTTTCCCAAAATGAGGCTGATGAGACTCAATTTTTTCTATAAGACTGTTCTGTGGTGCAGATGAGATGACTGTGAAGGCACTTTTTAAGGGATAAAGATACTGAAATTCAGGCCTCATGCGGGAGCCGTAGACCAGGAGAGGGTGAGCAGTTCCTAGGAGGGAGACAGCATGGGCTCAAGTGGCTACATCACATTTGAGAAAAAGGAAAAGACTAGATTATTTGCTGTGTAATGGAGATTCAAGTTTAACTGGGCATCCTGTATTTTTTTTCAACTTCAAATGTTATTGCTTTTTCATCCACTATATTAATCATGTTTCCTGTTTTCAAATGTGTTCCATTTGTGCCCACAAATAAACAGAATTGAGGTGAGTAGAGGACTGCTCATGAGATTCCCATCGCTCTCTCAAATATCACAAGTCAGAATGACCTTGACTCGGTAGGGAACTTTTTGCATTAGGAAATAATGTATAGTCAAAGCAGAAACAGTCAGATCCTTTTTTTTTTTAAAAATGCTCTTATTGATTTCAGAGAGAGGAAGGGAGAGGGAGAGAGAGACAGAAACATCAATAATGAGAGTCATTGATCGGCTGGCTGCCTCCTGCACGCCCCCTGCTGGGGATCGAGCTTGAAACCTGGGCGTGTGCCCTGGCTGGGAATTGAACCCCGATCTCCTGGTTCATGGGTTGATGCTCAACTGCTGAGCCACACTGGCCGCTGTCAGCTCTTCTTGAATCCATTGGCCACCTTCTCGCTTCACTGGTTGTTAGTTTTCTAATTGGATGGTTTGCGGAGCAGCACGTGCTATTTTTACCTTCAGGGTGACTGTCTTCTATGCTGCCCCGGGAGGAGGATGTCCCTGAATTACTGATGCTCTCACTACTCACGAGTGTGGGCTGTTGTAGCGGAATCGTCCACCACTGGTTTGGTTTTTAGTAACCATTTCACCCTCTGTCACTGCAAACGACTGTGCACCCTCATTCTCTATGTGCTCGACGTTTTCATTCTGAAATTCCAACAGGTTTTGTTCTCTGAGCTCATCGCTGCGTCTGTAAACATCTGCAAATGATGTCATTTTCTCTGAGTTCTGTCCTGTGTGTGGTAGGAGAAGTGGGTGGAGGGCCTAGATCTGCTTGTATAAATTTGTGGAACTGTCCCTTTCCCTCTCCTCTCCTTGACTATCATAGCCCTCTGTCCACATCTGCTGGGATACTTTCTTCTGAGGCCTCACTTTTGACATGTCATGGCTTTTTTATTTGCTATTTAATGTCATTCTGGAGGAGTCTTATCTTAGTCTGCTTGGGCTGCCATAACAGAATACCAAGGACTGAGCGGCTTGAACAATAGAAATTTATTTGTCGCAGTACTGGAGGCTGGAAAGTCCAAGATCAGGGTGTCAGCATGGCCAGGTTCTAGTAAGAACACTCTTCCTGGCTTGCAGATGGCCACCTTCCCACTGTGTCCTCACGTGGTGGAGAGAGAGAGAGAATTAGGCAGCCTTCTGGTGTCTCTTCCTAGGAGGAACTAATTCCATTACGAGGGCCCCACCCTCATAACCTCATCTAGCCCTCATGACCTCTCAAATAACATCACATCAGGAGTTAGGGCTTCAACATATAAATTATGGGGGCACAGTTCATCTGTAGCCCCCTGCCAAGACACGGAGGAGCCAGTGCTTGCTATAGATTGTGTTCCTGTGGGGTGTCCCCAGGCGTCACCTCCTCTTCCTCCCTCCTCAGGTGAAAGGTTGTGGCCCATGGGCATCCTGTATTTCCTCTGTCATCTCTATCTGGGGCATGTAACAGAAACACAGGCACTGGATTTCTCCAGGCAAACACTTGTGACGTTTTATAGTCACAGGCTGGTGAGGCCTGAGGTATATGTTACACTGAAAAGAACATAACATGCGTTGCGTTAAATATTTCTAAACCTAATCATACACTTTACTATTGTTAAATAGTAGAAAGAAGCAGTAGACACATGAGAGGCTCATGGGTTGGGGGTGCCTGGGGGTCTGGGATGGGGAGCAGCCAAGAAAACCTAGAGAACTCCCACAGACCACATCACTTTAGCTGTCTTTATCCAGAGCCTCCAGCTGGTCAGTTCTTTCAATTACCTGCAAAAAATGTGCTTAAAACATTGCTTTTATATGAATGGGTCACTGCTAATTTGAAATGTGGTCCAATTTGTTTTAAAAGTACATATTCATTTCAGGTGTTTTCTTGCCCAATATTTGGAGGTTTGGCATGCTGGACACAGCACTGGCTCTGGAACGAATGACACAGGTTTGTGTCCCAGCCCTGCCACTCTCCAGTTGTGTGATCTTAAACATATTTCTGAGCCTCCATTTCCTCCTCAGAGAAATGAGACCAATTCCACCCGTACCATGGACAGGGAGTGAGGCGTGAAGGAGTTTGAGACAAATCCAATGCTTGGTAAAGGTCTGCTCGCCTCCCCGCTTCTTCCTGTATCGATTTCATAGTCACGAGTATAAAACACTGAGGAAGTCCTCGGGTGTCTCTCCCTATGAGGGCGCTAATCCCATCACGAGGGCCCCACCCGCTTAACCCCATCTAACCCTGATGACTTCCCAAAGGTCCTATGCCCAAATCACTTCACACTGGGGTTGGGGGGGGGCAGTTCATCCATAGCCAGAACATATGAAACAAGCATCAAGAACAAAAGCAGTGTTTATTTGTCCGGCTTTTGACGGAGGACGTTTACAGTTGAGTGGAATGGTCACATTCGTCCCCTGGCGTGTCTTGTGCAGCGTCCTCAGTGGGTTGGAGTGGAGGGTCGCCACACAGAGGGTGCAGACAGCCGAGGCGTTTCCGAAAGTCCCTGTCGAGGAGCATGTAGAGGAGTGGGTTGACGCAGCAGTGGGTGCTGGCGATGATCCTCGTCACCTGGACGCTCCTGTCCAGGTCGTAGTGGCTCCGGCAGTCGTGCAGTGAGAAAGTTTTCTTGAACGTAGACAGGAAGAACACGATACTGTAGGGTCCCCACATCAGAAGGAAAACAACTGATATGGCGAAAACAAGCTTGAAAAGTTCATGCTTCCTTAGTGTTTTTCTCATTTGTACCAAGCAAACTATAAAAGCCAACAGTGGGACCAGAAGTCCCACAAAGTTCATCTTTAAGGTCAGAAAATGCTCCCAGAATGTCCCCTCCCCAGGCACAAAGTGAGACCCGCTCAAGAAGCACCTGGATTCCTGGCTGGATTTGTAAAACAGGAATTCAGGCAGCGCGAGCAGCAGGGCCATCAGCCAGGCCAGGACGCTGGCGGTGACGCCACAGGGCACCTTCCCGGCCACCTTGAACAACCTTCTCCCCGGGAAAGACACCAGGTAGTTCAGAAGGGCATTGAAAAATGCCTCGCTGTGTAGGCCCACGGAGGACAGTGTCATGAGAGTGATACACATGGAATGGCCCAGCGTGCTCCCGTGGGAGGCGGCGTGAGCCCGGAACGGCAAGGTAAGCAAGGAACACAAATTAGAAATGGCCAAGTTCAGGAAATAGATATTTCCCACGCGCCAGAGTCTTTTATGTTTCACCAGGATGAAAACAACCAAGAAGTTGTCCAGGAGACCAACCAGGGACACTACGGTGTAGAGCTGAGGCACCAGCTGGGCCGAGAGGACTTCGGGGTCATATTGGTGGCATTGTTCTGCGTTGTCCTTTAGGAGAGTTTCATTGTCGTTCAGATCATCCTCAATGAAGACGTCGTAATAGTCATCATCTGGTGCAGAGGTGTAATTAGCCATCTCCGGGCTGCTCTGTGGGGAAATGAGAAATTATTTCACACGGATGAGCGGTCCGAGAGGAAGCAATAGACAGGTGAGCGCCCACGAGGCAGCTCTCCCCCCCCACCCCCCCCGGGCCTCAGCTGGGGGGCAGGAGGCCACAGCTCAGAGGAGCGAAAGCGAATTTCCTTAGCCCCCCTGCCCTTCCCGAGGGCGGCTGTGGGCCCACCTGCTCCCTTAGCCCTCGGTGCCCAGCAGGGTGCTGCCACCACGGCTGACACAGCAGGCAGGACGCCCCTTCAGAGCGCCCCGTTCTCTGGGTAGAAACAAGACTTGCTCATACGTGAGAAACACACAATGAAAGAAAACCAGGACCCAGTTTCACGAAATTGGTGCCGGTCACAACTGCTCCACGTTTAGAAAGTTGACTCACCCGGGAGGCAGCTTCCTGTGACAGGCAGAGAGGTCTGAGTCGGTCCCTCGAGGGACAGGAACAAACATTTGCAAAAGCGAAAGCATCCTGAGCATCCGCGTGGACACGGTGCTTGGTCACCCAGATACTCACCGCTTGCGCTGCTGTGGGAAGGGGCTGGGGCAGAGGAGACGCCGCGTCCTCCCCGGCTCCTGACCCTCGGGGCCACTGCGTGCCCGGCCA